AAGAGATACGAATGTGAGAAAAAATATGACATTAGGGTTTGATTTTGGGATTAGATCAAAAAAAGGATAAATGTGGAAATAAAATATATATTCTAAAAGTAAAATGAGAATATGCTATAATTTATTATCATTTAAAAAATGCTATTTACTTCAAATATAGGGATGAAATATGCTATACGGTGTATTTTTCCTTATTATTATTATTATTATTATTATTATTATTATTATTGTTATTATTATTATTATTATTATTATTATTGGCAAAGTCTTTAAACCGGCACCTACTAGTTGTTGGATTGAAACAACAGTTGTATAATTCAACATAAATAGTGTATATTTACATGTAAAGATGTACAATTAAATATAAGTATTGTATATTTACACGTTGTACAATTCAGCATATGTCTTGTACAATTTAGCATATGGAAGTTGTACAATTGTAAAGATGTATAAGTTGTATGACAAGTTGTACAATTCATCATATATCTTGTATATTTACATACGGTAGTTGTACAATTCAGCATAAATCTTGTATAATGTCTTTTGCAGGATCAGTTAGGCAAATAGTGCTTGTCAGACGGAAGACATTTCCTATTATTATTATTACACTAATAATAATAAATATTATAATAATTATTATGATTTTTTTTTTTGTAACTCGATATATTATGCATACGGCTATCAAGTGCAAACCGCTTTTCCTCAGCATCCTGTAAAACCTGGTTTGTATGCGTAGATTATTTTGTTTGTTTGTGTTTCAGAACTTATGCCTTCTAAATTTTTATGGGGTTGTTACCTATTCTTAATAGGCAAGTAGTCTTTAACTTCAGTGCAAAAAATAAAAATAAAAATAAAAAACAAAAAGAAAGAAAGAAAGAAAGAAAAAATAGTCTCTCAGGGTCAATTTAGTATTATTGTACTGTTGAAAATTTGTGTTATTACTATACTATTAGTAATAAGTTGTTGTGACTAAAAGCATATAGATGTTTGGTAAATATTTTTACAAAGTGTTGTGAGTAGCAAAAGCAGAAATTTAGGTGTTTGGTAAACTATATATAAAATTACCGTTCAAGTGTATAATGATACAAGTAGACATACTTTATCACACATGTTTACAGTTAGTTTTATTTCTATTTTCATAGTCAATAGTCATAATATAAAAAATATTTTAAATTTTATTAATTAAAATAGATCTTAAAAATAATTTACTTTTATTCTAGGAAAAAAATTATTCATTTATTAATATTTATTATTGTTATTTTTAAACATTTTGATAATATTATAAATATTTGAATGAAGTTTAGCATAGCATATTTATTAAAGATTTTTAATTTTAAATAATTATTTTAAAAATATATTTTTTAATTTCGTATAGAAAAAGTAAAATAAGTATATTGAGAAGTAGGTTTTATTATTAAGGTTGTCTTAGTAAATTTGGATAATGGTAGTAGAAGTTACTGTGCAAAAACAACCTTTAATTTGCTTCTCAAATTCTGCTATTTGACAACATTTTTTGGAAGCTACTGGACAAAAGCAAGATTTACCAAATGTCCTAACATAATGTAACTTCTTTAAAAAAGTTAAAAACAACCATTAAAAGTAATACCAAACGGACCCTAACTCTGTGAAACAATTACAACAACATTAACTTCATTAGTTATTGGGGACTGAGAATTATTATTTTTAGTATTTATACTCTTTCTGCTTCTCGTGGTTTTGTTATGTTTCATTAAAGAAATTTTGCATCTGGCGTGATAACAATCTTCTCCCTTTTCTAAAATCTTCCTTCTTGTGTTTTTATTGTAATATTTTTTTAAATGGATTTTTATTGTAATATTATGAAATAAATGTAACAGGTGCCGTTTACGGGAATTTTTACAGACTCCACTCTCGTGGAATAAGTGTTTTCAAACGCTGAATTAGTTTTTTACTGATCATATTTATACAGATCCGTATTAAAAATTTACAATACGTTACACAAAATTATTTTTACTATAAATTTTATCATTAAAAAATTAATCCAACAGTAAAAATATTTGTCCCACTAATGGAGAAAAATAACTTGCTCTATTGTAAAGACTATTATCTTTTATTTACTCGATTTCTCGATTACTTTCCTTGTTTATGTACTCTATGATATAGTTTAGAAAAACAAAATGGAAACACCGTTGAGCTTAAGCATTATTGAGTTAAAAAAATAATAAAAATAATTAATAATATTTTAGAAATAAAATATTTATTTAAAGTGGGTCGGTTAAAATTAAGAAATTTTAGTAGAATAATATGGTGATTATTACTCAATAGTTAATGCATTGCACTGAAAAAGAGAAGCAAAATTATATATAAATGCGTAGAAAGAATACACAAATGTTATATTTTTATTAGACGGGTATATTCCGTCAGTAAAATGACATGATACACCCGATTAACTAAATGATTCCTCTTCAAAACATTGTCTTAATCCATAAAAGAAAAAAACAGTTAATGATAATACACACTGATATATATTTTAACTGTGCACCTTATGCAGTCCAATCAGTGTCCAAAATATCAATATTTAAGAAAGTCAAGGTCCACATTGCCAATCAATAAAAAGTTTAGAATGCAGTTGTATAAAAATCTTGACCAATTTTTATCTACTGATTGATGTCCCTCAGTTATTAGACCACAATTACAACAAATTCTAAAGCAAGAATCCTATTTACCAAAACTAAAAATTCAGGATTCAAATTGCTAAACAGTGAAATTCAAGATGCACTCATGTAATTACTCTTGAAATAGATATTTGTTTTCCTTCTTTTAGGGGGCATTTTTCCCGTTTTAAATGGAAATTTTCTTACATGCATCTCGTAAGCGACTCTTATATTTGTTCATTCTCTTGCATTTGCACAGTCATCTCCCTTAAACTCTCACAGATCACGTCTCTGATCTTTCTTTCCTTTTCTTTTCTCACTCTACTCTCTTGTCCTCCATTTTCAAACGCCAAAACCCTAACTTCTTCTAGCTTCTTCTTCTTCTTCTTCTTCTTCTTCTTCTTCTTCTTCTTCTTCTTCTTCTCCTTCTTCTTCTTCTTCTTCTTCTTCTTCTATAGTTCTTGATTGAAATGCCGACCCAACAATACTCCAATATCAATCTCGGCTTCGACAACGTCACCGTCCTCATCACCAACGATCCCCTCATGGTGGACTCATGGATCGCCGACATCGAGCGCATCCACCGCTGGCGCCTCGACCGCCTCGTCGTCGGCCTCGACATCGAGTGGCGCCCCTACTATGTATTCTCCGGCTACAGTAACCCCGTTGCCGTCCTCCAGCTCTGCGTCGGCCGCCGCTGCCTCGTCTTCCAGATCCTCTACGCGCCCTATGTCCCTTACTCGCTCTACGAGTTCTTCCAAAACAACTACTACACCTTTGTTGGCGTCGGGATCGAGGGCGACGTCGAGAAGCTCGAGGCGGAGCACGGCCTGAGAGTCGAGAACGCCGCCGACATCGGACATATTGCGGCGGAGCAGTACGGCCATGACGGATTGAAGAATGCCGGGATGAGGAGACTGGCGATGCTGATTCTCAACCTGGTGATCGACAAGCCGATGGAGGTGACATTGAGCGCGTGGGACAGTTTGAATTTGTCGTTTCCGCAGATACGGTACGCCGCCGCTGACGCTTTTGTGTCGTTTGAGATGGGGAGGGTTTTGCAGGCATGGCTTTACTACTGATTTGGGATTATTACTGTTTTAATTTCTGGATTTAGGAATTTTTGTGGCTCAATTAATGGTTATTAAGTGAATATCGTAGTTCTGATATAATATAAGATTCTTTCAAGAATCTGAATCTTGATGTACACATGACTTTTTCTACGTGCATAATGCAAACATTGCATGATTTTTCTTTGGATTGGATAATGCAAAATATTGCTTGATTTTTCTTTGCATTGTATAATGTAAATTTTACATGATTTTTCTTTATAGTGCAATTTTTTCATGTTGAAGAAGGGCATATGGTTTTCTTCGTCGGTGTTTAATTTGTGCTGTAATAATCTTAGGACGTAAAATTGATTTTCGATCATTAAAAAGAATTGGTTTTTGTTAAAGTGGTTTGTATGTATCAGCAGGGAAATTAGACAAGATTGCCTATGCTTTACCATATTTGGTTGATAATGTGATTATGGTAAACGAAATCCAGTTTAAAAATTGGATGTCAATATTGTACTTTAGATTGATTGCACATGTATTTTCTTTCGTGTAATCTCTTATGTATTTGTTTATAGTTTTGAGGGAATATCGAAAATGGCTTAAGTTGAAGGGAAACATAAACCTCGTTAATTTCATAAAATTTATCGTTACATTTGTAGTCTGTGATACATTGGAATATTTATTGACCAAAAAAAAAAAAAGAAACAACATGTTCTAAGGATGTAAATACGTAATATAGCTGAGAATTAAAAGAAAAAAATTGCCCCATAACTAAGGAGTATATGTGTGCGTTAACTATTTTAATGTGTATTATTTGGAATGGATATATCTGTTTTACTGGGTTTTATGAATTTGGATGGACATATTAATTTACACGTTTATGAAGTGCGTTATTATTCTAAAGTTTTTTTATTAGCACAATGGGCTGGTTTCGGAGGTTTCCGAAGTGTAAATTTGAGATTAAACCTTTTTTTTTACGTTAAAGAATAATTATGGTTTTTGCATCTGATATAATTTCTTAATTCTTATTAGTGATGATTTTCATCGAGTATTTCTTTTTTTTTTTGGTAGAAAATACTTGTTGGATTTTTCTTTCCGTAAGTGTTTTATAGGTATATTGACAAAACAAATTTAGAAATTTATATTATATATAGCTCGGTTTCGATATTCTTAAGCTTCTCCTTCCAAAGCTCTCAAGTCAATTACATATATGGATTCCATATATGATAAAATAGACGTTTATGAATTTGGCCATTTTTTTGTTTCAATTTTTAAAAAGTCCCTTTTTTTTTTTTTAGTTCATATCGTCCTTTACCGTGCAGTCATATAACGCTTACGTGATTATAACTATTAAAAGATTTAACCCATCAAAGTTATAATTTAGTAGAAATTTAGTGACATTTTAAGTTTTGAAAGATAAAGTGAGACATTCATTATTTTTAATTTAAAATTAACGTTTATATTTACACTACAAGAAAAAGGGGGTTTTGCGACGACTTTTTTTCGTCGCAAAAACCCGAGTGTCGTCGTAAATAACAGTTTTTACGATAACACAAGATTTAACCCATCAAAGTTATAATTTAGTAGAAATTTAGTGACATTTTAAGTTTTGAAAGATAAAGTGAGACATTCATTATTTTTAATTTAAAATTAACGTTTATATTTACACTACAAGAAAAAGGGGGTTTTGCGACGACTTTTTTTCGTCGCAAAAACCCGAGTGTCGTCGTAAATAACAGTTTTTACGATAACACGTAGAGGTGTCAATTGGGCCGGGCCGTCCATGGACGGCCCGGCCCAGCCCGCTACAGTAGCAAATTCGGCACGGCCCGGCCCTGTACTGTTATGAGCCGGGCCGGCACGGCATGCCAGAAGGGCCTGGGCTGGGCCTCATGTTTGAGGCCCGCAGCCCAGGCATGGCCCAGGCCCGCCCAAGGCCCAGGCACCCAC